TGCATCAATATTCGATCGGAAGAAAGAGCAAACAGAAATAGCTGAAGATAAAATTCAGTTGCTTCGTATTTTTAATGCACGAAACTATATGAAAGACAAACATTTATTGTGAGTCAATATTGTTCTGTGCTCTATTCATTTTGAAACTGAATGTTGTTATAGTTGGCTTTCGAATAACAACAGCATTATTTTATGTGACTCAATGAAATATCTTCGCTAAGTTCGTCGAACTTCTTTTCTAGAAACGAATGATGAATATACTTCTACAGTTACGCGATCATTCAAATTTCTCTTATGTGATATCCAAATAGCATTCTAAAGTTTCCTTTAAAGAATACATTTCTACAACAATACCATTCAGTATTTCTGAATTCTGAACTAACTAAAGATGGATAATACTAATTATCTTGGCATGCCTTTGTTAGTCAATTTGGGTGCGAATGTAATAGAATCCGCATGTGAGGTTGTCGGTGTGAGTGTCAGAGTGGATCTGGGTATCCATGCGAACGCGTGTGTATGTGGGCTTTTCCTTCTTTCAGCGCAAACCCACACCCACACGGAGAGTAACACCCAAGCCCATACCCATACCCATACCCACACCCACACCCACACCCACACCCCATACCCCATACCCCACCCTGGTATCGATGAGTATTAGACTTTCTCATAGTGATTAAATCCAACAATGGGATTCTATGAACGATAAGCTCATGATATTAGTATCTAATCCTAAAATCCAATCATTACATGCTCATCGGCATTGACGGAAACAGTAAAAAAAATCCTGTCTTTCTTTAACAATATCTCAATTTTATTTTTCGAAGAGAAAAACAATATTATTGTCTGATTGAATAATTATCTGTTGTAGCAGTAAGAACATCTTTACATAATTGTAATCAATGTGTTAAATTACTAGTTCCTAATGCTTCTATCATATAAACAAGTGTATCTTGTATATGTGAACATAATTTCTCATCTGTTTCTGTATTAAGCATAGAAAAAAGTAATTCGAAATTCAATACACAATTATAAATATTTCAAAAAAGAAAAAATTTAAAACCTTCAAGACTTCAAAATTCAGAAAGTCCCATTGATAAATCTTGTCCTGTATCTTTCATAAATAATTTCGTATGTTTAATAATTTCTTTCACTTTTCGTTGTGATAATTGTCTTAAACATGAAACATATGCACGTCTTAATGATAAATCTTGACTTTTTAATGTTTTTATTAATTCCGATACTACTGTTGATAAATTAACATGACATGAATCAAATAAATGTAATTGTTGTAAAGCTTGTATAACTTCAGCTTGAACAATTGATTCAATATATATTTGTAAAAGATTACTAGTTGTTAAACATGATGAACGTAATATTGATATATAATTTGTATTTGTTTGAAGTTTAGGATTAATTTTTATAGTTAAAGCATTAAGTAAATGTCCATAACATTGAGATACATGAAATTGTGATAGTGAAATTGATAGAAGAAAATCTAAAGTCAATGCTAAACATGATTCAATATATCAACAAAACATTTGTTCACTACAATTAGCAATTAATGCTAATGCATGTAATGCTCATACTTGTACAATTGATGCTGATTGATCTTGTTCAAGTACAAGAAGTATTGATAGAGATAAATTTAAATATTATCTTGTACTTATTCTACCAATATAACGATGTGAGCATTCAAATGCTAATGAGTAATCTGTACGAGATGAAACAACACAAAATTCTTTTAAACGATCAAAACATATTGGTACTATATCAGCAACAAAATGTCCATCACCAATAACTTGTGTTAAATGACCGAGAGTTTCATCAGCTGCATAATATAAGATGGGATTTTGATGACTTAATATTTGCATAATAAATGTACATGCTAATTTATTCATATTATCATCATTGATTGATGAAGATTGTTTGATTTTAGTTAAAGTTTTTAATGCTATTAAAATAGCTGTAAATATATTAACTTGTACAGCTTCTTGTCGTACACCTTTTGATTGTTAAATGATATCAATAAAATGTTTTAACATATTTAAATGATGTTTATTTGGTACACGAATAAACATTATACCATAAAGAAGTATTGATGCATCAATAACAGCAAACACCTAATGATGTAATGGATCAGGAATATTTAATTCAATTGGATGAGAATAATATGCATTGCTAGAATTATTATCTGTGGTTGATGATGAACGAAAAAGATAATTTATTAATGTTAAAAAAAGTTAAGGATATATCTCGACGATAGAGATATGTTTCATCATGTTCAAGTGCACTTGAACCAGAGATGTCCATCGCGGCTGAAAATTTGCCGCTACCGCGCCGCGATGACTTTAGAAATTTTAGATCCCACCGCTGCCGCGACGCAATGCTTCGACAACTAAACGTCACCGCGCCGCTACCACACCGCGACGAACAAAAATAAAGCCTACCGCTACCGCGACGTTCTAAATAGTGCGATCTGCAGAAAGTTCTCTATTCTCTTATAATAATATCGTCTTTGTAGCATATAACTGGTATGAGATATTACATCAAATATCAGTATGTGACGAAATGGATAACAATCATGAGTTCCTTAGAACTTCAATTGAAAAGCCAACATACGGTGAATGACCGTGAACACCTGAACATTTAAAATATTAAATTAAATAGAAATCAGTATATAGATCAAATAGAATACTCTTATTTCGTTTTAATAAGTGATATTTTAGCCTTGAAAAAGCAAAAGATCATAGAAACTTAGAGCAACTAACTGAGCCTGTGGAAACATAATTTGATATGCGCATGAAGTACTTGAGAATTTCGGCCAAAAATTTATGTGCTATAGATAAATCTTGAGATGTATTAAACTGGAATAGATGAAGAAACGTTCGCCTGTTGTGACTATATAGTGGTAAGGGAGTGACACGATATAGATTACAATATTTGAAATAAAATATTGGAATGTATCGATTTTATGTGAATTCTAAGTGAATTTTTTGTCTATAATTGAAAACGAGATTTATAGTTCCGTAAAAGAAGACTATTGTCCAAGTTAATGTAAATCTTTATTATATTTCATATTTTCAAAACTAAATTACAAGTAAAAATATTTTACAAAAAAAACAATCACGTGTTCTTCAATCAGCTTTTTGTATATTTCCTAATACTTTTCGTGCACTTCTTATAACATGTATGTTATCAAGTTGATCAGGTGATAATCTCTGTCGTTTACTATTTACAATAATGCCGCTGTAACTGAACAGTCTTTCAGTTCCGGCAGACGTGGCCGGTATGGAATACAGTTTTCTTGCCAGACATTTCAATACAGGAAACTTTATAGAAGCTAATTCACTTGACCAAAAATGACGAGGATTATCTTTGACTATTGACGAAGGTATATCGGCTTCTAGATATTCATCTAATTCGTCGGGTTTCGATGCTTGATAAGTTGTACTGTATGAAAATTCAGTGGACAACGACGAGCTAGATGATGAACGTCTACGTCCAATACCAGTATTTTGAGTAAGATTAATATCTTCACGATTACGATCAATAATAGTTTCATCAAATGATGTTTGAATCTGTGTTTCTATAAATATAGAAGAAAATAGTAATTATGCTTTTGGTTATATGCTATTATTCATTTATTACCATCATGTTCATTATCTTCATCTTCATCTAAAAATTTATGTAATAATTTTCTTCTTTTGTTTGTTGGTATATTACAATCTTTTGTTGTATTCACCACATCAACTTTTTTTTCTCGTAAATATTTTCTAATATTGTCATAACAAACGTCTTTTAATTGATTTGAAACACCATCTAATGAGATACATCATCATACCTAATTATTAATGTCAGTATTAAAGAGTAGATTTCTCTTACCCATTTCCCTTAATGCTGGATGAAGACACATAGCCATATAATGACGATCATCAAACGTAAGCATTTCAATTAATTTTGTACGTATACGTTGTCGAAAAAATCGTACACCTAAAATAACAAGAATAGATATCTTCAAGTTCGGAGAGTTATAAGACAATGTGATAAAAAAATAGTACAGCAGCTTCTACCCATTAAAGGAAGTTTAAGAGAGCAACAGATTACAATTCGAGCGTGAAAGTCAAACCGGAACCGTTAGACTGAGGTGTTTGCATTTTCATAAAGAGCGGAAGAATGATACTATGATTGGGGTATTAACGAAATAATTATATACAATTAAATACCCACAAATAAAATACATACCACTAGATTCATTTAATAGATAATCAGCAACAAATGAGCTTTGAAATATTGAAGGATATTTTTTCTTTGATGACGAAACTAATTTGGAATGTGTGCTATAATCATGTAATAATTTTTGATAAAAAGGAATGACCAAATGTAATGATGGTGTTTGATCAGTTTGAATAGCATGAAGTGCAGCATTGAGGGGTGCTAATAATAGTAATAAATCAATTAGATTGTATTTGGTTAAATCGTTAACATATCTTGTTGTCCGACGAGTTTCCAAAGCTAATAATATAGCATCAAAATTACAATAAACTGATTCAGCACATACAAACAAAGACAGCCAACGTGTGACTACTGATTGTTTTAATGTTGTTGTTCCATCAGTGCCTAGTTGCACTATTAATTCGTTTAGATTCGACTGAAATGATAAAAGAAAAAAGTGAACGACTACATTTTGAAAGGCAAGACTACTTAGAAAGTCTTTCGGCATACGCCTCTAGTTCTTTATACAAATCTCAGTTAATATATCATATATTCTGTTTATTTTTTTCTTTTTGATATAAAGAATCAGTGTTTAAGTAATTCTATTTTATGAAAGTGAGCGCCGAAAAAATTTCTTTAACAACAAGTCTATACAAGAATAGATTTTTTTCTTATTCACAGTTATTTGCTTATAATTTCCGTTAATATTGTCTATATACTACTAAAAAATATGCGTCTTATCTACTAACAAATACAAAGACGAACGTACCAATTTCACGTAATGAACAAGAGTTTTTGAATAATTAATGGTTAACAACACTCTCTTTGCACCTAATGTTAATAATTCATCACCTAGAAATTCTTCATGACCTAAATTATCAGGAATATCGTCCATACTATCATCATTAAAATAACTATCAATCTTTTTATTAATGAATGTCATTGTCAATACATTATGGATACGATGTGCAAAACAAAATATCGGATCAATCGAATTCAAATTAAAACATTTGATAAAATTTGACCCACGATCACTAATCCAATTAATATGATCAATTTTTTCAATTCCATATCGATTCAATTCTTCTTTTAAAATCTACAATATTATAATGTGTTTTCTTCAATGTAATACTAAATCCTTATGCTTACTTTTGATATATTTTCACCAGTTTTAGCTAAATCCACAGGAAAATTTCGACAACATAAAGTAAGTTTTTTGAACTGTTGACTTAAATCAATAAAAGTTACTGTTACACCTAAATAAGATAATTGACGATAGCGATCTGTCCATATGTCTGGTGCAGCAGTTAAGGCTTGATTTTCGACCGGCTCTTTAATTAATTCACTTATTTGTTCCCGATAAAGTTGAGCTTCATTTTTTAAAGAACGTGATATCGTTTGTCGTGATTGAAATAAACTGTCTAAATCCATTGAACGTGAACAATTTTTTTCTCCTATGAAAAAAAAAAATGGTAGAAAATCGCATATTCTTTAATTTGAACAAATTCTAAGAGACGAAACGTACCTAAACTGTAAAAGTATGAGCAAATTTTTTTAAGACCTGAATCTTCTACTACTGATATTGGACGTAAATCATCACATATCCAATTAGTAAATAATTTTGTAAGATGTCGTTGTTCGCAAAGACGAAAAGAATTTTTTTGTTTCGTAAAATGTTTATCTAATGTAGATGAATTTTCAGTTGTTGGACCAGAACATTCATGATGTGCTATGGATTCTGTTGATGATGAACCATATCGATATGTAGTAAAACAATGTATACAAGATACAAAATTTGAAACTGTAAATGTTTCGCCCGATATCGTTTCCTTTGCGAAACCAAAACTTGACCACCATTGAGCCAAATGTGTTTTAGTAACACCATGTGCAACAACAGTAAACCGATTAATTCGCTGACACAATAATTTTCTTATTTGATCACTTTTGGCTTTTATTTCACTTGTTTTTTTATTGTCAACATCATCAATAAGTGCTAATCGAAACTTTAATTTTAACTGTTCTCTATCGATTTCTTCTGTTGTTGATGAAGATATATCGATAATAACGTCATCATCTGTTGATGGTGGTGAAAGATCAATACTAGTCATCTAAGATAATTTAAAAATACATGTAATATTGTAATAAACAAAGATAAAAATCAAATCCATTATATCCAGAAAATAAATAAAATTTATGGTGACGAAAAACTAATTTGTAAATAGAATAAGATAGTGCTTTATTTTGTGGATGATTGTTTTGTTGATTACGCCAATCATAATAAGTTGACTTATGAGCAGAAAAACAATTCGCTATTCTTCACTTTACTAAAATGATTATATAGTTACTACATCTATTCTGTTTATATTTGCTTTCATTCGATACATCGTTAATCTGTATTATCTATACTTATATCTCCATCACTTATTTTACAATAATAAAAAAGTCACGAAATGTGTTGAAATTTAAGGATCGAATAAAAAATTGGATTAAATTTTTATCTGCACTAGAATTGGAAATAACTCATTTACTTTTTTAGAGATATATCTGACATTTAAAACCCTTACACCTAATAATGATTCGAACATTTTCCTGGGTATAGTTACTTATGTATATAAATTATAAATGCGATAGGACATGAATTCTTGAAAATCTAGTAATATGCTCCTACATAAATTTATCATGTAATTACATGATTCTAACCTTTATATTTCTATTAGACAATTAAAGTATAATGAAAAAATATACTGATGGAGAAAAAAATCGGCTGTCTTTGAATCATAGTAAAATAATCTACTCAAATATTAGATTTTCTCGGAAAAAAATCGAAATTTCAGCCGCTGCCGCGCCGCAACGCAACGGTAAGAACACAAAGGTTGCCGCTGCCGCGATGCACCGCGACGGTAAAAAGAAAAATTTGCCGCTGCCGCGACGCACCGCGACGGTAAAGGAACACAAGTTGCCGCTACCACACCGCTACCACCATGACGGTGGCGGTGCGGCAGCGGTAGCGGCAGCGGCAGCACCACCATGGACATCTCTGACTTGAACCACTAGTGAAGTGTTGGTTGAAGTTGTTCTTCAATCATTTGATAATCAATTTCTTGTAACTAATTAGGGTGGGTGTGGGTGTGTGCGTCGGTGTTGGTGTGGGTGTGGGTGTGGATGGTGTGGGTGTGGGTGTGGTCGTGGGTGTGTGGGTGTGGGGGTGGGTGTGGGTGGGTGTGGGTTTGGGTGGGTCATGAAAATAACAACACCCACATCCACCCACACCCATACCCATACCCATACCCATACCCATACCCATACCCATACCCACACCCGTACCCTCACCCACCCACACCCACACCCACACCCACACCCACACCCACACACATAATAAAATAGAAAAATAATGGATTCGGATTTAATGGTTGTTGAAGAAAATATCAATATGAAGTATTTTTATGATAAAGTCGACGAATATATCATTCATTAGATCAAAAATTTCGTGAGAAAGCAGTGATTACACAAGAACTTTATAACAAAATTCAACAATGTTTGTTATAGCCAAAAGGCACATCAAGTAATTTATTTTCCACAAACTTCACTTATTGGGTGAAGCATAAATTCGTATTGATAAAAATTGCTGCAATTGATGTAGTTGCTTGTATTAAAACCAAAAAAGCTGTTTGTATTTACGAAAATTTTTACAATGTAATCAATGAAGCACATACAAATATCCCACACGGTGGTCGTGAAAAAACAATGTATGAATTAAATTGTCAATATTCCTATATACCTCGACCAGCTATTGAAATATTTCTGAAACAATGTGTTCCTTGCCAAACTCGTAAACCAGTAAAACATCATGTTATAACAAAACCAATAATTGCATGAGGTGTTATGACCAGGCTTCAAATAGATTTGATAGATTTTCGTACAAGACCAGATAAAATTTCTTCTGATTTAATTTATTGTTGGATATTAAACTGCATTGACCACTTTAGCAAATATTCATGGACTTTTCCTTTAAGAAATAAATCAGCTGTTGAAGTAGCTGAAAAACTACGTCAATTATTTTTTACTTTTGGTCCACCACATATCTTACACAGTGATAATGGATGGGAGTTCATATCTTCCGTAATTACAGAATTAAAAGTTCTTTTTCCAGATTTAGTGTTCATCCGAGATAGGCCGAGGCATCCACAAAGCCAAGGATGTATCGAAAGAGCAAACGGGGTTTTGTGTGATGCCCTCGGCAAATGGATGTGTACTAATGGTTCTTCAAGTTAGTCTTCTGCTTTACTACCTGTTACATATGGAATTAACACTCGCATCTCTACGGTTACTAAAACTAGTCCTTATCAAATAATGTTTGGACAAGCACCACGTTCAAATTCGGATTTCTGGAAAATGGTTCGTGCAAATGGAATTGAAGACGAGGAAGATTTACCTACTCCTTTTGCCGAATCAAATGATGATTTAAATATTAATCAAGATGTTAATAGGATTAATTTGGATGAAGATATAGATGGTGAAAAAATTACTGTAGTTAATCAATTATCAAATGATGCTGCTTCTTCTTCCATTAATTCACAATTAAACTCAAATGCATCATCATCAATTACCGTTTCAACTCCAACAAGACATTCTACAATTCGTACAATTGCTTCAAAT